TTATGAGCAACGGTAACTGAACTATAAATACCTGGTAGGGAACTGCAGCTTTAGGACTTCCTGAGTGTGTAACTCTTACAAGGAGACATGTCCTCTCTGAGGAGTCTGGAAGCTATGCCTACAGAGTTCATACAAGAGATACTGGCTTCTGAGGAGATGTGAACTAAGTTGGAGTGTCTGCACCCACCTGATGTGAGTCGAGTCTCCTGGCATTGAGACATTATCTAGGAAGGCCAAAGAAAATGACTCTTGTGAACTGGCTGGGTGAACTGCTGCCAGAATGCTGCACAGTCTCCTAATGTAGAAAGTCTGACTGTCCTGTTAAGCTCTGGTCCTTGTGCTATAGCTTTTTGGGGATCCTGATAGTGAGAGAGGCCTGTGGTTCTCTTACGAGCCTGAATGTTTAGTTGCACCTAGGACTCCCTCGTTGACAGTATAGATTTATCAGTGCAGTGAAGGGTGAACACTGATTCCCTGATGGTAAATTGATCAAGTGTTTCTGGGGGTAAACCCTACTTGATCGTGTTCTATTTTGTTTGTTGGGTTTTGTCTGATAGTTATTTTGTTTTTGTGCCTATGTAAGTGAAATCAGACTGGATCCTATGTTTGCTCAAGTGTTGGTATTATTATAATAATTTCATAAAAAGAATTGCTGTCTGTGACTTCATTTATACTCTGGAATTGTATATGTTGGATTGGCAGTATTTGTCCCTTAGATGTTTGGTAGACTTTCAAAGTAAAACTATCTGGACCTGGAGTTTTGGTTGAATAACGAGTTTTAATTACTGTTGAATTTCTTTAATGGTTATAGGACAGTTTGGGCATTCTCTTTCTACTTGAGTGTGAGTTGTTAAGTACACCCCCCTCCCCCCAGCAGTTTATCCACTTCATTTGAGCTTTCAAATCTATTCACATAAAGTGGTTGATAAGAGCCTTTTGTTACCTTTTAAGATTCTATAACATCAGCAATTTTTATTCCTAAATTGTTTTCTTGTTATTTTTACTTCTTTTCTTGCTTAATCTTGTAAGAATTTTGTCAACTACTAGTCATTTTGGAGAATCAATTTTTGGCCATTAATTTTATATATTTATGATTACTATTTTACTCAATTTGTTATTTCTAATTCCTGATACCTTTTAAAAGTTTAGTCTGTTCTTATTTTACTAACTTCCTAATGTGTGTCATTCACAAATTATTTTTCACCCTTTCATAATGTAAACATTTAATTTTATAAATTATAATTTATAGTGTTATTTAGAGTGTATTTTGAAGTGTTCTTCTACATATTTTAAAATTTAGTGTTTCTAGGAGCACCTGGGTGGCTTAGTTGGTTGAGTATCGACTTTGGCTCAGGTTATTGACCTGGTAGTTTGTGGGTTCAAGCCCCATGTTGGGCTCTCTGCTGTCAGCGCAGAGCCTGTTTCAGATCCTCTGTCCCCTTTCTCTCTACCCTTCCCTCACACACGCTCTCTCTCTCTCAAAAATAAACATTTAAAAATAATTTAGTGTTTCTATTATTCAGTTTTTAATGCTTTACACTTTCCATTATAATTTCTTTTGATTATGAGTTATTTAAAAGCACATTTCTCAATTTCTAATATCAGGTTTCTCCTGTTTTACTATTGTTCACTTTTTGTTATTAATTTCTAACTATTCATTGTTTTTGGAGAAGGATGTCCACATACTTGTGCTTTGAAATTTGTTGAGATTTGTTATTTTTTTTAAATGTTTATTTTTGAGAGAGAGAGAGAGAAACAGCATTGAGCAGAGGAGGGGCAGAGAGAGAGGGAGACACAGAATCTGAAGCAGGCTCCAGGCTCTGAGCTGTCAGCTGAGACCGACGATGGGCTCGACTGACGCAGGGCTCGATATCAGGAACCATGAAATCATGACCTGAGCTAAAGTCGGATGCTTAACCGACTGAACCACCCAGGTGCCCTGGTACATTTGTATTTCTGTCATCAAATTTTGTGATATTTTCCCGGATTTCATTTTAATTTCTTGCCTTCTTTTTGTTCTCTGCTAATTTAAAATTTTCAAACTATGTATTCTCCTATAGTTGCCTTAGATATATTTTTAATATTTAAAATATTTAATATTAACAGAGCATGAATTGGGGAGGGGCAGAGAGTGAGGGAGATGCAGAATCCAAAGCAGGCTCCAGGCTTTGAGCTGTCAGCACAGAGCCCAACGTGGGGCTGGAACTTCTGCTCATGACCTGAGCAGAAGTCGGGTGCTTAACTGCCACCCAGGCACCCCTCACTAGGTATTTTAATATAAAGGCTTAAGTTCTCAAATTTCTAAATTAGTGTTTTTATCCTTCTCTCTCTCAATATAAGGGCCTTAGAACACTTAGGCCCCCTCCACCACACACTTTTTAAAATGTTTTCTATTTGTATATAAATATTTTGCAAATTTGTTTGCACTTATATAAATATGCCCATGAATTCAAGCAAAAAGAGTTTCTGGTAATATTACTTAATTTGCATTAGAACTACTAATCTGAGCCTGAGTGGCTCAGTTATTTAAGTGTCTGATTCTTGGTTTCTGCTCAGGTCATGATCTCACAGTGTGTGAGATTGAGCCCCCTAGTTGGTCTTCTCACTGATAGCATGGAGCCTGCTGGGAATTCTCTGTCTTCTTCTCTCTCTGCCCCTCCACCCCCTCTTGTGTACACACTCTCTCTCAAAAGAAATAAACATTACCAAAAAAAAAGAACTACTGGGGTGCCTGGGTGGCTCAGTTGGTTAAGTATCCAACTCTTAGTTTCAGCTTAAGTCATGATCTTGCAGCTTTGTGGTTCAAGCCCTGCAACAGGCTCTGTCTTGTCAGCACAGAGCCTGCTTGGGATTCTCTTTCTGCCCCTTCCCAACTCTGCTGTCTGTCTCTCTCAAAAATAAATGAACTAAAAAAAAACCAAACAAACAAACTACTAATCTGTAGTGTATTTGTTATTTCATTTCAGTAGTCCAGAAAGTATAATGGGAACCCGGCAGCACTTTCCTACAGAAAGAAAAAAAGAAGATAAATGTCTTTAATAAAGGTTAACCTTTGAGTAAGGTAAGTAATAGAACAGAATTTAAGATTTGGAAACTTTGCAAGATTCACATATTTTTGTTATAAGAATTGAATTGAATTCAAAGAATGAAAATTAAGTTAGCAAGACCCCCCTGAAACACATCAGAGTTTGGAAATGTCTTATGAGGTATTAGTATGATCACCCATTTTTTCATCATGTGTATTTGATTCCCCAAGTAGCTAAAAACAAAATTTAGTCAATTATACTTTAAAAAGAAGTAACACTTTAAAAAGAACTCCTAGAAGAGAAATAATTCCCAGAAGTCATCTAGTCTAACTCCTTCAACTCATAACTAAGGAAACTACAGTTTAGTCAAAATAAATGATTTGTTGAGCAAGAAGGAAATTAAGAGATGGTTATTGGACCAAAAAGAGCAGTGTCACTATTCAGCTTATCTCTGTTTTGAATAATTGAATTAGAAGACAAAGCAGTGCCATAGGTTATTAAACCACTGTTTTCCTAAACAGTTGGAAGTCTTGTTTCAGAGATGTCAATGACCAGTTTGGATTACTTTTTCCAGTTTTTACCTCACCATAACTCAAGCACCCACTCCAAAACCAATGTAAGTCTTCCCGCTGGTTAATGCAGGAGGCTGATAGTTGCACGCATGTGGCCTTGTTGCCTATAATGCACCAATTTAGTCTTTTTTTTTTTTAAAGCACTCTCCACACCCAATGTGGGGAGCAAGTTCATGCCTCCAAAATCAAGAGTGGCATGCTCTACCAACTGAGCCATCCAGGTGCCCCAAAATACTAAAATCTTTAGTAATCACTCCAAAGTCACATAACATGCATTCTTGAAAGGAAGTCACTTGCCTTGAGAAGGTTAGAATCAATCAGGATTCTGTAGTTACATTCTGGCTGGGCACAGTCGAGAAGCCCTCATGATTGTGAGGGTGTTTGTAAAAGATGGCACTGGCCAATGAAGTCAACTACTGACTCTTCTAGTTCGTCTACTTTCTCAGCTGGTGAATTTCTGGTACTGATGGGCAGCCCAGTGGGAGAGGCTAAGGAATAATTCCTGACCCCACAAGCAGCCCACATTCACTGCTTGCTTGTGCCTGCTGAGCTGCCAAAACAGAGGGATTCTTCCTTTTGAAATTCCATTTTTCTGCCTTTTGAATGTCTGGTCACCTCTGGAGCTGGGAATTCTTGTTTTTACGCAAAAGAATACTTTCATTCTACAACTTAGGTTGTGCCATGGGAGACCTTGTGACCCAAATCTTGGTTCATCCCTGATGTCTTCTACCTTCTTCAGGCAGAAATGGTTTGTCCCCTCGTCCACAGCTCCTGCCCGGCAACCTCCTAAAGGCTGGTTGGCAGAGGCATTGCAGATGCATTTCAAACAGCTGTGTGCAAACAAGGGGGGGGTCCTTCCACGACTGGGTGAAAATAGATTTTTTTAAAAGCAGAAGTAGAAAGCTTCCTACCTGATACACCCTGATTCAGTTACCTGGGGATGAACAGGACAGGGGAATCAGGCTCACTTCTAATTTCAGGTCTTATCAAATGACCAATCATGATTTAGGCTAGGAAACCAAAGACCAAACACTGCAAAGCCAGAATACGAGAGTTTTCCTCTGGGGCAGAGTTGGAGTCAGGACTCCTGAGCTTGGTTGCCAGCTCTTTCTCTTGGGAGATGTGTGTTGTAGACAAGTCACTAAATATACCTGAGCTTCAATTTCTGTTACCAAATGAAGGAGTTGCACTAGATCCCTGAGGGACACCATTCTAACACTGTCTGGTTCTGCAGAGATTACTGGATCCATCTAGTCTCCAAAGTTCTTGGAAAGCTAACTCTTTCAGCAAAGTGTGAATTGATACCAAGCTGATTATGTAAAAAGCAGGGAATGTTCTTCTTACAGTGTCTTTTTCTATAAAAACAAATTTTAATCATTTAAAAATATTTTATTAAGCACTGATTTAAAAAATGCAAGAGAATATAACACCTCAGAGCAAATGCTTGAAGGTAAAACAAATATCACTATAAATATTGCACTTATAAAATCTCTTTTTTACATCTTCACACGGCTCATTTCTAAAATATCCTTTTACAGAGATGTATAAATAAACTGCTTCCAAACCGTCAACACTCGATACATTCAGTTTCCTATCGTATATCTGCTCCTCTCCATGCAGGCGCAGAACTTCCATCAGTGATATCGGAGGTCTCAGACCTACATCCTGTGAAGAGTAAATCTTTCTGAATGCTCAATGTTTCATATAGGAGGTTTTTTTCTACAGAGAAAAATAAAGATCTTTCAAAGGCAATGACAGAATGCAGCTTAAATTGACACAGTTCACTGTTAACATTGCTTATTTTTCAAGGCATCCAGGAGCTTCTGGTTCTTGGTCTTGAACATCATGATAAAGCTGTTTGGCATGATTTTGCCTCTTCCATCTTCACCCACTTGGCCCATAATGATATAGTTTAGACCTAAAAAAAAGAAAAAAAAGAATATATTTTCTCTACCTGTACTGTTTTTGCTACAACATAGACTATAACTTACCTCTAAACAAATGATCTGGAAACAATATTATTATACATCTGTTCTATCTAGGATAAAATCAGGTTTAAGCCTCTCAGCAGAAAAAAAGTCTAACCCCCCCCCCCCCCAAGGAACGTGTTCCAGCTCTACCAACATGAGGAACATGGAGGAAATGAGGAGGCCCATGTCCTGCTCTGCAGGATTTACTGAGTATCTGCTGTGCACCACACGCTGTGTTCATGTGAAAGGCTGTCCTTCCTCAAGGGGCCTCGGTGTTCCCTGACTGCCATCCTCAGATGGCCTGTCACTGTCCCATAATGCTTCTGGATTTCCCGGGCACTTGGCAACTAATGATCCACGGTCTTCTGTTGTCGAACTGAGATTTTTTTCAATATCTGAAGCATCTGTACTACGTAAGTTTCCTGAAGGCTTGGTTGCATCATATATTGCTTTGCATTCTTACAGTTCCTTACAACAAATAGATACTAAAAAGTTCTATCGGTTATATAATTTTTTGTATTACAGTGTGTCTGGCTGAGTTAGGCCTAGACTGGGCCCTAAGCTGAGGTGTGGTGGATTCAACTCTGAAGATTTATACTGCCTGAGAAAAATGCCATAAAGACAGAGTTTATTACCACCTCCTTTATTCTCTCTCTTCGCCTGTGTGTTATAAGAGAAATATGTGTGTCCTTTTTCTCTTGCATAATCTTTCCTTTGTGGGCTGACATTGTCCTCAGTGGTCTTGAGCCTGTGAAAGCCTGGAGGGCTATGCAGGTGGATGCCACCTCAAGGCTAGACTGTTAGCATCATTATGAGACCTTACAGTAGTGTCTTCATGTACATTATCTGCTATTACTGTGGTTCTGGAAAGAAGTGTAAACTTTTACAGAGCCTTTGCTATTTGCTCAGAAGAATCCATGTGAAGCCGCTGGCCTCCAGACTTTTCTGAACTTGAATTCTTAAAGTGGATATTCTCTCTCTCTTTCTCTCTATTGTGTGGGTGGGGCATAGGTGGGGGAAGTTTGTAATAAGACTGAGAAAAGGAATGAGCGGAGATTGGAGAGAGAAATCATGCTATACCACACAGCAGAAAACCAAACATGATTACAATTCCAGAGAGAGAGAGATCTATCTCCATGTGCTGTTTATGGAAAGGTGTCTACACACACATCATGTTGTGCGGGGGTGGGGGGGAGTGGCAGTAGAATAGGTATAGCATCATCACATTTGTCTAAGTGTACGTGCATGCTTTCTATAGACAAACTTTCTAGAGGAAACTTTTCATGGTACCTCTGGGGAAAGGGAAAGGGCTTCACTTTTTATTTCGTATCCTTCTCTACTTACCTAAACTTTTTTAAAAACCATAGAACATTCATTACTTTTATAAGTTAAAGAACTTATTATGGCCAACTAATCTTTGACAAAGCAGGAAAGAATATTCAATGGGATAAAGACAGTCTATTCACCAAGTGGTGCTGGGAAAACTAGACAGCAACATGCAGAAAAACGAACCTGGACCATTTTCTTAGACCATACACAAAAATAAACTCAAAGTGGATGAAAGGCCTAAATAAATGTAAGATAGGAAGCCATCAAAATCCTCAAGGAGAAAGCAGGCAGAAACCTCTTTGACCTTAGCCGCAGCAACTTCTTACTCAACATGTTTCCGGAGGCAAGGGAAACAAATGCAAAATGAACTATTGGAACCTCATCAAAATGAAAGGCTTCTGCACAGCGAAGGAAACAATCAGCAAAACAAAAGGCAACCAACGGAATGGGAGAAGATATTTGCAAATGACATATCAGATAAAAGGTTAGTATCCAAAATCTATAAAGAACTTATCAAACTCAACACCCAAAAAACAAATACTCCAGTGAAGAAATGGGCAAAAGACATGAATAGACATTTCTCCATAGAAGACATCCAGATGGCAAACCAACACAAGAAAAAATGCTCAACATCACTATCACTCATCATCAGGGCAATACAAATCAAAACCACAATGAGATACCACCTCGCACCCATCAGAATGGCTAACACAACTCAGGCAACAACAGATGTTGGCAAGGATACTGAGAAAGAGGATCTCTTTTGCACTGCTGGTGGGAATGCAAACTGGTGCAGCCACTCTGGAAAACAGTAGGGAGGTTCCTCAAAAAATTAAAAATAGAACTACCCTCCAACCCAGCAATTGCACTACTAGGTATTTATCCAAGGGATACAGGTGTGCTGTTTCGAAGGGACACGTGTACCCCACTGTTTATAGCAGTGCTATTGACAATAGCCAAGGTATGGAAAGAGCCCAAATGTCCATCGATGGATGATTGGTAAAGATATGGTGTGTGTGTGTGGAGTATTACTCAGCAATCAGAATGAAATCTTGCCATTTGCAATTACATGGATGGAACTAGAGGTATTATGCTAAGCGAAATTAGAGAAAAACAAATATCATGACTTCATTCATATGAGGACTTTAAGATACAAAACAGATGAAAATAAGAAAAGCAAAAATAATATAACAACAGGGAGTGGGACAAAACATGTAACTCTTAAATAAGGAGAAAAGAAGGTTGCAAGAGGGGTTGTGGGAGCGGGGATGGGCTAAATGGGTTAGGGGCTTTAAGGAATCTACTTCTGAAATCATTGTTGCACCATATGTTTAACTTAGATGTAAATTAAAAAAATAAATTAAAAAAAAATTCATTTGCTCCTTGCCTCTGTCTCTGGACTTTTTCCATTTAAAAGAAAATGTTTTAATGTTTATTTTTGAGAGAGACTGAGCATGAGCGAGATAGACACAGAATTGAAGCAGACTCCAGGCTCTGAGCTTTCAGCACAGGGCCCAATGCCAGACATAAACCCACGAACCATAAGATCATGACCTGAGCTAAAGTCAGATGCTCAACCGACCGAGCCACCCAGGCGCCCCAGAATTTTTCCATTTTTTACCTTTCCTTTTTCCAAAATTTCTTTTAAATTCATTTCCATGTGTGGATTTAATGAACCTGTATCTGCAAATGATTTACAAATCTTTAATTCTAGCCCATATATACCTCTCTCTTCTAAACTTCAACTCTGAATTTCTTGTTTCTTGCTAGATATTTTCTGCTAAACATAGTATTGGCACCTTAAGTGTAATAACTGAAAATCTCTTTCCCCTTAATGGCTCCTTCTGTATCTGTTCCCTATTGATCCAACCTCAAATGCTTCTTGGACTCATTATTTCCATATCTCACCTTCTGTCACAAGTTACAAGAACTGGGCTTAGAGCCCAATTCTGCCGAACTCCAAAGGCCTTTCTTCTACACCAGAAGTGGACAACACATTAGCCTCGATTTTACTTCCCCAGCCATGGCATTTCTCAGACTGTCCGTCTTGTTTCCTTCTCTGTCCCTGAGCTTCCCTAAAGAAAAACTAATATTTTCCTCCTTACCTCTTCTGAGGAGAGGGCACTGCTTGCAGACCACGATGACCTTGGCACTCATGTTCTTGCCAGCCTGCTGAATTGCCAGATTTCCCTCTTTATAGATGTTGATGATCGAGACTGTGGCATGCAAACTTCCACCTCGGGTGACAGTTGTGATAACAGTGCCAGCCAGTACTGCAGAAGGAAACATTTAGAAATAATATGACAGTGAAAGCAAAAAATGGAGGCAGAAGTGAGAATAATTATACATTCTTCTAAGCTTCAGATAGGAAACATAATGTTCAAGAGAAAGCCCTAACAGAGCTATCACATTTGATTCTGCACATTTGTCACCAAAATTTAGGTTGAAAAGAGGCCATGGAGCTGGAATGTTACCCACGTTGTTAGGTGTCGATACCTAGGAAAGAAACCTAATTATCTGCTGCATTGTAGTCTGTTGCTGAGAAGGGGGATCTCTGCCATGTTTTATCCAACATGGGGATCATTTACCAAATAAGTGATAGGCTTATGAGCCTCTACCTATGAATACTCAAGAAGACCTTGAATCTTTAGAGGCAATACCACACTACAGGGTTGCATGCTAGGGGTTTGAGCTAAGACAATCTGAGGCTTCGTGTCTGTGTGGTTGAGCACCTACCTTTCTGTGTCTTTCCCCCCACCCCTCTCTTCAGCTGTCCTCTCCCCTTTAACTTTGGTTCATCCCATGGATCCAGCTCTAATTATTGGTATCTATCTGTTTCTGGGCCTTTCATAATCTTATTCACCTTGTTTATTTCATTTAGCAAATCAAAGTATAGAACTGAGGTATAACAAAACATTTTCTTGCCTCTAAACAAAAACAAAATTCAGTTGCTTTTCATTATGTAACTCTGTTTAATTCTGTGGTGATATAAGAGGAAAATGTCTCACTTTGGAGCCACAGAAGGAAAGATGCTGGCATTTTGTGGGTGATAATTCCATGTGGTACAGGACTTGCAATGAGAGACTGTTTTATGAGCCCTGTCCCTGCCCAGAAAAACCAGTAGCACCCCCCAGTTATTGTGCCAAAGACTGCTCCTTGGGGAGTGTTACCAGTATAGGCTGAAAACCAATGGGCCACGGGTGTTAGTATTTGGTCATTTTGCCATGGAAGAGACTCACAATGGAATAAACTGAAATTTGGACTCGGCTGACCTGCTGCTTATGTAGTGTGCAGACTTCATAAAATCAGAACTCTTATCATGCTTTACTTTGATTCCTGGTGATAAGTGTTCACTGCAAAATGTTAAGTCTGTAGCCAAGTGAAATCTGGTGGCTCCAAAGGACATGGAGGGAGATTTCATTAAGCACCTCCTGCAGAAGACTAACCTGGATGTGTCAGCATCCAGTTTTCATTTTTCATTGTTTTCATTTTCATGCCTGTTATTTGAACTGCAGCATGCAAACTCCAGTAAGATCTAGGGCCCCAGATTCTTCAGTGCCTTCACACCTTCACTAAAAATAGTTTTTCTGGACTAGATAGTTATACCACTTTAAGGCACAGAAAAAGCAAGCCTCTTTTGGGAGACTCTGTTGTGGGTAACCTACTTAGGCTTTAACAACTTCCTTTTCCTATTAAGACTCTTCTTAAATGTTCTTTTAAAAACTAACCAACATAATTAAATTTGGTATCTCTTGCTCTTAAGTGGTTTTTACAGAAAGTACAAGTATTTCAATTGGAAAAAGCTCTGAGAAATTCTGTCATTAGGTAATATCTCCTCAGTTCCAATTTATAAGCATTTCTAAATAGATTTCAGATTCCCAAGTTTCAATTTAATACTCTGGAATGACAGTACAGAGGAAATACGTGAATTTCTTCTGAGAAAGGCCAGCCTGGATATGTTTCTAATTTACTTAAGTGGAATTACAGATGTGTGAAAAATATGCCATACAGGAAAAATATGTGAGGAAAAAAGTATACAGGGTTTTTCAGGAATACTGATCCAGCCAGAATACAGTATTATATCCCAGGAATCAACTTAATAAGTTTATGTGGGAAAAAAGCATATTTTCTGTATACATATTTTTCTCAGTTGTGAAATCTAACACTTTGAACAACACTATTCAACACACCTTGGTGAACAGGAAAACATTTTCTTGGGTGAATGAAGAGTGTAACCCATTACCATCACCTTCGGGGCAATTCCTTTGAGATTAAGCATGCTGTCTCAAGTTTCTGATTAAAGAGAAAAGGCCCGGTTTTATTCTTACCAAAGTTACTTGAACAATAATTGCTCTCCAGAGTTCCCGTCCGTCTACACTTCTGTTGACACAGGGCCACAGTGGGTTTTAAACCTTCATTCAAAGAAGAAAGACCTAAGAAGAAAAATGAATTCAAACGCAATTGGTGTTTTGACCTGAATCTATCTATTTAAAATTCCTAGTTATTTCCCTGAGCCATCAATCCGTCATCGCAATGGAGTAATTACATTCAAAAGAAATTCTTTATGCTACAAACTGCTGCTCTAATTTCCTCAGGGTAACTCCATACCCTCTGCTGTATTTTAAACCAGAGATCAAAGATAACCCAAATTTAGCCCTCTTTTCTTCTTTCTTTATATATAACTAACACTAACCAAAAATAGATATAGCCTCCTTGTGCCCTGCTTAGAACAACCCAGCGCAAAAAATATGAACTCAGAAAATACAGGTTAATTCTTCACTTTACAAAAGGAATCCAATGGTGTTCCCCATGAGGTTAGAGGGAGTTTTCTCCAGTGCATTTAAAATAGGCAACTTCCCAAATGTGGTAGTACAAAGTTTTAGAAACTGTGTAAGTGTATTATACCTATAATGAGATGCGGCCCATCGTTAAACATGTATTTTGAGTCTGTCATTGCCCATAAGCATCTTAAAAACTGGGAAGTAGACTAATTTAAAAACAAAATGAAATAGGTAAACAGAGTAGTTCTCCAGCAAAGGTGATTCTTCCCCTCGGGTGATGTTTTGCAAAGTCTAGAAATATTTTTTGTTGTCACAACTAGGGGCTGCTACTGGCATCTAGTGGGTAGATACAAGGGATGCTGTTAAATATCCTACAGTAAACAGGGCAGCCCCCAACAGCAAAGAATTATCTGGCCCAAAATGTAAATATTGCCAAGATGGAGAAACTGTGGGTTAATGAAATGAAAATATTTAATTCCCATTATCATCAATAAAAATGTTTCCAAAATATTTGCTAATTATTTACTTATAGGTGGCAAAATGGTAGGAAGAACTAAACAAGATAGTTGTAACAGAATTGTACTTGCTGGGCAAAAATTTGCAGCTGTAACATTGCCCTTCTAATATGTTTCTGTGAACTCTTTTCTGAATGTATTAGTGATTTACTCTTAATGTGTACCTATCCTTAACTCCAAAAATGATCTCAAGTGGATCACAGAATTAAAATTCAAAGAATAGCCTGTGTGTGTGTATACTTTTTTTTTTTTTCAGGCAAAGAGCTCAGAAAACATTGAGAGGGAACACTGTTCCAGAAGTTGGGGACCTATATTTACCTAATTACTGGAGTCAAAAAGTAGTGGTGCTAGTGTTTCTCCCTGTGTGATGAAAGAGCATCCTTTCAGTGGACGCTGGAAACCAGCTCTTCTAAATCCCAGAACATCAATCTGGAAATTGAGTGGGAGTCCCATCCTGCTCCTGCTCCTCCTTCGATAGATCCCTGCTCTCCTGCCTTTAAGTCATCACTAGAGCTTCCTGACCCTTGTCACCTCCCTGTTTGCTCTCTCCCTGCAATCCCAGCATGGCATCTGGTCCTTGGCCTTCCTCTCCAAATGCACTTATGACCATCTCGGTGGGTGCGTCCTCCTCCCGGTGCCATGGCTCTATCCTTCCCAGACTTTCCCTCAGCTCTGTCTCCACCACTCAGTCACTCCCAGGCTCACATGTTCTCCTGCTAGTCATCACCAAGCTTTCAAGTTTACACATCCTAATATCCGGTGTACCTGCCTCTCATTCAAGCCCCTATCTTTTCAGTCTCCTTTGCCAGTATATAGTTCTTTTTTAAAAGTTGGGGTTTCTATGGGGCGCCTGGGTGGCTTAGTCGGTTAAGCGTCCGACTTTCGCTTAGGTCATGATCTCGCGGTTCGTGGGTTCGAGCCCCGCATCGGGCTCTGTGCTGACTGCCGGCTCAGAGCCTGGAGCCTGTTTCAGTCTGTGACTCCCTCTCTCTCTGACCCTCCCCTGCTCACGCTGTCTCTCTCTCTCCTAGAAATAAATAAAAATATTAAAAAAAAAAAAAGTTGGGGTTTCTAGAGATTGCATTGGGCAGTCCTTCTCCTCCTTTCACTCCTAACCTCTTCCTAGGCTATCTCATTCTGGATCACAGTGTCAACCACATCCGTGTTTTTAATTCTCAAATTTAACTTTCTTGCTGAAACCTCTTCTGGAGGCCATAGATAGGATTGGACATGATTACTCCACTCGAGTGTCTCACAGACATGTCAGACCCAACACGCCACAGCTTAACTTATGATTCTACCCCTAAACCCCTTTCTCTGCTTCAGGGAAAGGTTGCACTTTCCCCTGAATTGTGCAAACCAGAGACCTGAGAGGCATGCTTGACACCTCGCTGATCTCCCTAGTCCCATTAATCACCAATTAAAGACCTGTCAATATCTCCCAAGGTCCCTGGCTTGTACAATAGCCAGTATTTCTGGACTCTCTGTGTACTTCTGTCACAGCACAGTTCACCTGGATGGCCATGAGAGCCTGCTGATCATCTTGACCCTACTATCCATTCACCTCACAGTGGCCAGAGCTCCCTTCATGAGGTGAGCAGCTGATTCTGAACTCTGTTTAAATCCATCGACAGTGCCCCCCACACTGTCGATAAAATACCAAAATACTTGGAAGCTTAAGGAGAGAGGTGGCAGGGCCTAAAGATGGAACTATAGGAAGAGAGGCTAGGTGTGAAGAGATCATAAAAGGGCTTATATGTGGCATGAAGTAGCCTGGCTCCCGTGCTGCCCAGTATGATAGCCACTAGCCACATGAGGCTTCTGAAAAATAATCAAATTGAAATTCAATTCCTCAGTATCACATTTCAAGGGTTCAGTAGTGGCTACCATATAGGACAGCACAGGTATAGACAATGAATTCAAGTGAGAGAAATGGTCTGCTTTGTGTGTGTGGTGGGGGGCATGCAGTGGGATGGTAAGACAGAGGAACTCGAAGCCGACTTAAGAGTGTGGCTAATGCTATGGACCCTGCTTGGGAAAACAACTGGAGAAGCCGATTTCATGCAGAAAACAGTGTAAAAAAAAACAAGTTGAGTTTGATATGTTTTAATCTAAATGTTTAGCAGTCAACAAAACCCGAGGAGATAATTTTAAATCCATGTTTGCAATTTCAGAGAAGGTTTAGGACCGGAGATAAAATTTAGGGAGCCACTAGCACAATGGTGCTGCCAGATAATTCAATGGAAAGAATAAGTACACCAGGGTCCACTGAGATGAGCTGAAGAAATAAGAAATACTGCTGTAATAGAAGGCAGTACATGTCTAGGCCACAAGGTGGCACACTTGTGGAGCACACAGAAAAATCAGCCCTTCTAGAAGTGCCTGTACTCAGGTCAGCACTACCAGGGGTGCAAGCAGGAAACGGTGGGCTATAAAAGCTGGGCTCATTTCAAACTATTTTGTATCTTAACTTCAGATCCTGCGTTCCCACTTTTTTCTTTCTTTCAAATTTAGATTTTGAGATCTGAGTCCTGAAATCTCAATGGGTGGAGACTTAGTATATGGATACATTCTTGCCTCTCCATTTCATAGGTTATGCTCAAGACCAGTTTCCCAGTTGGCTTCTAAAATACCAATTTACCCCAATTTGAAAGAAAAAAAAGTATTTTGTATAACACATTTTAGAGTGAAGTGAGGGAAAAAAATAACACACACACGTACACACACACACACACACACACACACACACACACACACCAAAAACCCAAACCAAAAACTGGCAAATCTGAAAACAGGCAGGTATCAAGGCCCTAGAGCTTTAATTTTAAATACTACAATTCTATGTAATAAAAAGAAAGCTATAAAGAAAAAAAATTGGGCTTATAATGATCTGTGCCAATAATTGGGTTCTTAGTAATTTTTAAGTGGTCATAATTTTCTTAGATGACACTTAAAAATTATTACCTTATAAACATTTTTACACCTTATACTTTTCCTTCATTAATGGAGTCATATTATTCTCTTGGGTAAGTTTTCATTTTACTTAATTTAGTTTCAAGTATCTTTAATTTTTTTTCTCCTTCAAAAGAATTTTTCTTATACTCCTGAGGTGTGTGCACAAACATCAAAACAGAAAAACTTACCTGTAGTTACAGGAAATGTGGTGGTAACAGGTGGTGCTGTAGTTGTAGGCAATTTTTTTGGCCTGAATTTGTAATGACCAATAAATCCATCTGCAGTTAAACTTAAGTCTGATAAAAACTGAATGAGAAGTTCATTTCTCTCAGATACAATTGGCCTAAAAGAAGAAAAATATAAAAAAAGTTTTTTAAACGGCACCTCTCTGAACTGTAGAATCCTAGGTTTCCATTACTTCTTGACAATAGATCAATCTATGTTTAAAAGTAAAAGTTAAAATACTTCAAAAGGCCAAAGTCTCAATCTGCTCAGTATTAATGCTAATAGCTAACATTTACCGAGTGTTCAGTGCAGCACTGTGCTTTATGCAAACTGTCAAATTCTATGTTCACAGCAACCCTATTATTCTCTTTCTGACAGAATAGGCAGTTGAAGTTCAGAGAGTTGAAGTGATTTGCCTGACACCCTACAGCTAACATGTGGGGGAATCAGAATTTGAACACAGGACCAGGTGACCCAAGCGACTATGGTAGACATGGAGACCGCTATGAACACTGAAGCTGTGGCTGGTTCTTCACAAGCACCTTAGGGTCTGGCCTGATTAGGGAACTACACAGCTTCTTTTAACTAAGACTGGATTTGAGCTAGCCTGGGAAGCTAAGGAATCTAAGCCATAGAGAGTCAGATGGAGAAATTTAATAAATTCCCATGCCCTGTGAAGACAGTCAGAGGGATCATTTTGGTGGGCTGCTCACCAGGGGACAAGAAAGCCATGTAGGGTTTAACGTGACATCCATTTCATTTTTAATAAGAGCTCTTAGGCATGCCTGAAATGAAAACGTTTCTGTTTTATAATCTCAGTAGCAGAATGCTGTGAAGGAGAGAGAGAAAGTGATTGCTTTGGTGGTTATGAACGACATCATTAAAGAACTCTTAATCTGAAAGCTATTTTAGGGGCTTGCTGGTTAGCTTGTACTAAAGATTTAGTGGCAATAATAACTGAGGCTCAAAAGCACTCAAGTCTTAGGGAATAGCTATATAAAATAGTTTCATTTAAGCTTTCTCTATTATTATGTAAGTAATGGTTAAAAATGCTGTTTGGCTAATTCTATTTCAAGACTAAAAACTAAACAAGTTATTTGAGTTAATCAGTGGTTTGACTAAATTCTTTTGAGGCATCTTCAGCCAAACCACTCTGTAGGCGTCATGGACGGCAAATAATGAGGCAACTCAATTTTTTTTCCCCACGTATCAGCTACTTTGAGTAGGGATGGTTGGGGGTGAGGGGAGCCGATCTGTACTTGACCAAACCAGTTAGAAAAACTGCAAGATCATTTCTGTCCTGAAGGCCATTACCTTCTGAGCCAAGGGATGGGATGAACCCAAGAGTGAGCTTTGTGACCTGCATTTAGCATTCTGGTCACAAGAGTGACCAAGATCATTTAAATAATGCTTCTGAGAATCAAGCCTTTATCAGAAACATTCTGTCTTGCTTTTGAAAACACATTCAAGAAATATAAACAATATGCATGAAAAACAATTCCCAACTACAATTACAAATAAAATATGTTAAACTTGTTTACATGATAAAATTATAAAAAGCACTTATTATATGCAACAAAGGAAACCTTAAGACCTAATCAGGTCAGCCTTCTGGGCATGATATTATAATTATAGTGATCCATCTAATGCCTTTTCTATGAGCTAATCTTGGGAGCATTAAATTGGAAATTAAATTTTTTCAAGGAAGAGTATTTTAGTAACAGACATATTTTTGTTATGCTGCTACTGAGCTCTAGCATGAATGTGATAGAATCACAGTGCCATAAATGTTCTGAGGGCCATGTGTGCATCCGCAAATTAATGTTACAAATCACTAGAAAGGCAAGAGAAAATCTCCCTTGGATTCATTCCATACTGGCAGATCCCGGAAAGGGATGGAAGATGCTGTTTGGTCTTATAGAGCTGGCTGTGTTCACTGTCTCTGCTTTATCATCCACAGTCATCATCTTCTTCAATCACTACAGCTAATCAACCACCATGTCCTGCCAATCTTGCCTCAATATTTCTTGATCGACATCCTCCTCTCCATCTCTACTATCCTTCCCAACTTCCTTGACTTTACCTGGACCCCCTGCCACAGCCTTCTAACCAGACTCTGCTCATGACGTCAAGGATGGGATTCTAAGGCACCGGCCCGCCATTTCCTGACTAAATGCATCCGAAAGGCTCCCGTCTGTAAGACATGGAATCCAGCTCAGCGTTCCCGCCTCTCTAGCCCCAACTCAAGGTCTGGGCTCCAGAAGAGCATATCCCTCCCCTGTGTATCTCTATGAATGGAGCTTCTTCTACTTGGAATGAGTCTGTCCTCCCTTCTGCCTGTGACCAATGCCAACTCTTTCTTCAAGATTAAGCTTCAAGAGGCACAATCTCCTTCAAAAAGCCTCTCCTGACCCCACCACTGGGGCCGACTGAACCAAAGGACTCCTTGTCAGAAACGCACACAAGATACTCCTTTGCCAATTTAACTATCTGCCTCATTTCATCCCTCCTACCAATTATCTTTGTGTTTTTATTTATCATTGTATTCCAGCTACAGTGCCCACCACATGACTGGGGTTTAATAAATGTTTCTGAACCGAATTCAATGGTGTTGATAACTGCACTGAACCTGACACTGAGGTGATCTGACCAACCACAACACATCTATTCAGACTTTTAACAGGGGGAAAGTCCCCCAAATATGTTTTCTCATTTTCTGCACTGTCTCATCCCAGGAGTACTCTATGAAAATAATATTCTTCTGGTAAGTGTTAGTTGGTGGGCTGGCTGTCAAGCTAAGCCAGACAAACTCCTTAGAAGTGAAGGGCCCCACCATGTCACCCCCTCCCCACCTGCATGGAGGTTATCACTATGCTGAATTCTGTCTTTCTCCTTTTCTTTGCCTACAGACTTACCAATAAATATTCAGCACTAAGCAATATATTTGTATAGGTCTGTGTGCTTTTAAACTTCATATAAATGATCTCTTGTATCCTTGGTTAGGTTTATTTTAAGGTATTTTATGGTTTTTTGTGCAATTGTGAATGGATCAGTTTCTTGATTTCTCTGTTGCTTCATTGTTGGTGTATAAAAATGCAACCGATTTCTGTACGTTGATTTTGTACCAAACTACACGCCCGAAAAACAACCCAGTGAAGAAATGGGCAGAAGATATGAACAGAA